CATACTTTTTGGGATTGGCAAGGGCTGTACAGAAGTTTAATGATCAATGACACGACAATTTTTGGTAACAAGTCGAATTTATCTTTACTGTGTGCCTACCATAATCTGAAGCATATGTTTTTATTTGAAATCCTTTTAATACCTCAATGCGTTAACCTTGTAATATGTTTTAGAGTAAAGTTAGATAACTTACAAACACCAGACTGAGTAATCGTCCCTCGACCTTTATCAATAATACGAATATTGAGTTAAACTAAGTAAAAACTGATATGACTTGTAAAGATTAGTGCCCCCTTCATTTCAAATTCTCCATACTCAGTAGGACAAGCAAACTTTTGTCTATCGACTTCGTTCACAAGAAATAATTTGAAAAGAGAAATCCTTAAATATGGTTTAAGACACAATGTAAGCAAAGCATAGAGGACCTATCATTACAAAAGGAGCTGAAAAGGCCTAGGTGCGCGAAAATTAAATAAGATCATGAGGAGACACAATGATTGTTTGAAACTCTTGATCCAAAAAAAAAATGATTCTCCGCACCTCTCGGCCGAGGCTTCCTTAATAAAAAAAAATAGTCCCTGCTGAGCGAACAAAGTAGACGATACCTGGATAACTTTGCTCATGTTAAATCAAATGACAAGTTTGAATGCTTAAGGATCAATTGTTTCTATTCGAGATTCACCTTATTCCCAATCATGGCACTAATCTTAATCAATACTTGACTGCAGCGAACGGAATAACTCTTTGCTCTCATATTTTAGTTTGTTCGAGGACTAACAAAGGTTTAGTGTGAGGAGGTTTGATGACTCCAAATATGAGCATATTCCCCGTTTGACAAAACTATGTATTACTTGAATTTCTGTATAAAAACTATCGCAATATCTTATTAATGGCATACTTTATTGATCTATCTCGCTTGGCATGATCCATAATTGGTTTTTTGAGATTATTAACAATTTTTGCCCTTTTAAGCGGTGATATGGGTCAAGAAAAGCTAAGGCAGATGAGACAAGCGATAGCCGTCTCCGCTCACAAGCGACGACTCCATCGCTCAGGTCAGCGACCCAGACACCCACCGCAGCGGAGCGACGACAACTGGTTGCAAATAATGTCTAAGTGTTCAATCCGCAGTGGTACAACCATTTCACTACCAGCCAGCATTGACGACTCCGCTCAGCTGCACTGATACCCTCCAACCATCTGGGTGAGCGAGGAAGATCTGCGCCCTTACAAGTCGAAGCAAACGAAGCGAGCACCATGGGAGTTATGGCCAGCAACTGCCCCAATGGTATAATTGCCAACAACTGCCTAACTGCCCAGCAGTTGGAACCACTTCTCAACTGCTCGCAAAAGTTACTCCCATTAGCTATAAATAGGGCCAGATATCCACTTGTAAATATACTTCGAAAAATAAAGAAGTATACAAGCACTTATGTACACACATTCTAGTTGTCTTCCTGCCTCCAAAGAACTCCAACCTTGTAAGGGAGTTCTCAGCAGGAATGGCCAAGGGGGTTGAGATATTTCTTTCCCCTTGGCCACACTTTACTCTTACTTAGTTTTAGTTTACCGTTTTAATTACAGCTTTTGTACATTAGAAGTTTCTGTTTTGGTACTAAGTAATGAAATATCATTTGTTCTTCGTCATCACTTCATCCATATTTTCACATTTAAATAAACCCTAGTTGTAAAGAATTTCACTTCACTAAGAAAGAACGAAGAAAAATTGATTATTCAAGCCTTGTCTTTTGTCACAAACAGATTCAAGGTGGTTCAAGGTAGCTAAGTACACGGGAGCCTTGTCGACCTGCTTAATTACTGGTCTAAATTCAGTTTTGATTAAAAAGAGGTAACAAAAGGGTAAAGCCACTAATGAGACAGAATTTGGGATAATTAATTGGGCATAGGCGGTGGTCTATTGGGTCACATAAATTCCTAGTGACAGTAGGGTTTCTTTCTTATAATGTTCTGATTTTGGGTGTCATTGAAGTCTTGTTGTAAATCCCTTAAGGTCAAGTACCAACGATTAAAGTTCTTTATAAACGGGTTTATATGACTACATTACTCTATCTCTCACCACTCCGTATTATACATATATGTTCCGATTAATGTACTATCATCACTCGCTCATTTCATCCGGGAAAATTTATCCATTGAGTAACGCACAGTTTGGAAACAACACCTCCCCATCATTCTCTACCGCTCAATTTATAAACATATATGTTGTGCCATCCGCTCATGCCTCTCTCGCTCACCCATCGCTGGCACCTGTCCCGCTCACCACCACTCCGCTCACCGTCGCTCACTTTTACCGTTTTCCTTAGCTTTCAGCTTTTTGTAACTTTAGATTCAGGCTTGTTGCAAAGCGGGTCTTCTTACTGCTTTTCCGCCGCTTTCATGAGATCAATACTTGATTTAAATTTGCCACTTAAAATCACTGTGTTCGATCTGGAAACTCACCAGTTTAAAGAGTATAAATAATTATGAAAAATGAGTCAAGGTCTACAACCACAACTTTTGCTATATCTGATCGCTCACAATAATTCCTTACATTTAAATTTTCGCCTAAAAAATTCCTTGCATTCAAATATACACCTAAATCATGTTGTCACCGATTCAAGTTTAGCAGACATAATAAATTTCTTCTTGAATTCACCATCGAATCTTTCTTTGGGATTGTTGTAAGTAGTAAGCTTGTGCTTAGGGTATTTTCGTTGTGAACCGGATGTACTCACCCCCTGATAGCCACTTCAGTTCTAGAACTTCCCATACTTCAGCTTGGCTGCTCTTTTCTCACTAATCATTCGAGAAAGTTTATGACTCAGCAGTGTCATTTCTTCATCAGACTCTATCAGCTCCATGTCCTCAACACTGAACGCCATACTTTTAGGTGTTTCATCTTCAAGATAGTTCATCTCATAACTCACCAGAGTACCATACAATTCATCCAATGTCATGTTTTTCAGCTTTGGTGGTTCATCGAGCATAATCACCTTTGACCTGAAATTTTTTGTTAGACTTTTAAGCATTTTCTTCACCAACTTATTCTCTTCAAAGTGCATTCTAAGAGTTTCAGTTTGATTGAAAATATCCATAAATCTATTATAGTAAAAAATGATTGTTTCGTCTTCATTCATCTTCATCCCTTCAAACAATGTCTCCATATGATCCAATTTTGATTCCCGGATTTGCACTGATCATTCAAATGAATTTTTCAGAATGTCCCAAGCTTCCTTCACAATTTTGCAGTTGGATATCAGTTTCGCCTAAGTTTCATCTACATTGTTGAAGATCGAAAAGAGAGCTTTTGAGTTGGCAATTCCAACAGCCTTTTCCTTTAAAGTTCATCATCTCTTTGGTTTCTTCACAAGAGTGGTAATGTCGTCTTCATCTTGGATGGTCTTCACGGGATGAGACCATGCAAAAACTGCAGCATCAACAACATCTTCACCTTGAGACATCAAGAAGGCTTTCATCTTGTTTTTCCAGCTTCGATAGTTTGTTCCATCGAACAATGGAAGTCTTGACGTTGAACGACCTTCCTTGCTCATCTTTGCAACTATGAAAGGACCTACTAAACAACTTAGAGAACACTACTCTAATACCAAATGTTGGGGAATAGGTGTTGCACCGAAAACTCCTTCAAACACCTATTCAAGGTCAACTCCCGAAGCGTAGTTATATCAAAGTTATAACACTCTACTGCCAACCATATGTATGCAGAAATACAAAGCAGTAAATGAGACACGGTTTGTTTACTCAGTTCGAATATAAACAATCCTACATCTGTGGGATACCAATCAAGGAGAAGTTCGCTAATCAGTACTGATTAAGAACAAAGACAACTACCACTCCTTCAACCCATTCCTCTACACTGGTTACCTTGGAAAAACTTCTCAACAGGCTTGCATTGTCACAAACGCGTGCTGACAACTACCAGAGAGCAGAGATGCTCAGAATCGTAATGTCTCCCCTGATCAAAACTCCGATTTCTCCTTCCTCCGACGAGGTCTTCGGCGGATATAAATTTCTAGCACTCACTCAATACATGGAGAAGAGAATGGTTGGGGTTGAGAGGATTAAACACACTTTCTCTTACTATACTCCACTCTCAAAACCTTTACAACAACCAACTCTCTATACACAACCTACAATGTAGCACCCATGGACTTGACATGTGCAATCAGTAATTAATTCCCCCTGGTTATTGGTACAAAAATGGAACTGTGTTTCACTGTGAAATTTGTTCTCAAGTTAACCAGAAAAAATAGTCTCTTTTATCTTGTTTGCTTCACCAACCGAAAAAGTGTAAGACAAATAATGTTGTTAACGGTCTATTCCAGCAACTAGTCAAACCTATTATTAAAAATGAAAATCTGAAAGCAACGGTAGAAAGATGAAGTGACCATATGTCAAAAAATAGATGGAGGGAATTATGTTCCAACATATATATATCTCTAAAAAAATATCAAATTAAATATATATATTTTTAAATTCACAATACTTACTATTAAATAGTTCATTTTTAATTATTTTCAAATTTTCAAAAATATGTGGAAATTTGTATATGAACGGAAATCTCCCAAAAATTCTAGAACACAGACAAAAAACACAGACGATTATACCTATAATCTGACTGCAAATACTGTGATTAACAAAACCGATATCCAAAATAAATCAATGAATTAACCAAAGTCCACATAAATACAATTCCCCAAAAAAAATAAAATAAATAATTAGACCTTAATCCTGCATTTATTTCGAAATCCGTCGCTCAGTCAGAATTACGCCAATAAGCAACGCACGCGTAATCCTTCTCCGCTAATAAAACTCTTCCCACAGAATTAATTATACGCCACACCGCCATTACTGTCACTTTCTTCGCCTTCTTCATCACACACACATATATTCACACATTCCTTCATTTCTCCATTTATCCTCTCCCTATTCTTTTCCCAAACTGCACTCAATTTCAATTTCCAAACACATTCATACGTATCTATGCGTCTGTGAGAGAGATTTTTCGAGAATTAAGCGGTTATGCATTTTTCTTCTTCAGCATCGTCATGGATGAAGCATCTATGCACTCTGATACCACTCGCGATGGTGATTCTATTGTCAGGTTTCTACGTAAACCCTGACTATCTGCACCAGTATTTGAGTTCGATGAATAATCGGACGATTTTGGAGGAACACGATGGGAGATTGTCACTTGGATTCGAATCTCGGGATGATGTTCGTCGTCATTCTGGAAAATTTGTAAACAGTAGCCATCGACGATTCAATTCACGTGCAAAGCTGGTAAGATTTTTATTATTGGTTTTTTGGTTTATAGCATTTCTGATTCTGTGAGAATTATATGAGCACGATTTTGAAGTGTTTTTGTTCTTTCTGTGGCGGTGAAGGCTGGAATTATGCAGAATATTATTGAAACTGGTGATTTGGATTTTGTTGTGATTGTTGACGACAAACTTTTTGGTTCTACAACAAATATATATTGTGTGCATATAGGTATATATTATTTCAATTTGTTTAGAGCATATTCACCATAGATTAATCTTGAGGTAATTTATGGAAGCAAATATGCCCAGACTGTAATGAGATTTTTGCATTCTTAATGATATTGAAACTGAAGTTGTAGAAGATTTTGTACATATGGAGAGGAATTATAATCAACTAAGAAATAATTTGATTGTGAGACAGTTCATTAGACTTAGAGGGATGTATGTTTTAAGTAACGACTACGTTTGATATCCTAACAAATATTGTGATTAGAGTAAAGAATATGTAAGGATTTTTGGAAGCTTTTCTATTCAAGGAGAGTGAGTATTAATGATTTTTTGCCTTTTCGTGATTCTGGAAATTAAATTGTAGCTATTAATTGAGGATATATATATATATATATATATTAATGTAATTGGAGATTTAATGTCTTCTTTAATTATTGTGGAATAATTCTATGATTGATGAAATATTATTATGTAAATGAGTACAAAGTCAGTCAACTGTCTACATAAAACACCCCATAGATTGGCAAGCAGTTATATTATTTCTTTTTGTGGATTATTTTATTTTAATTAATAATAGATTATAAAAGTTAATAGTATGTAACTGTAATAAGTGTACACATACTATTATATATATATATATATATAACAGCACTTTGCTTTTTCCCCAGCAAACGAATTTTTTTTTCATCCCTTTTTATTTTATTTTCTTAGAAAGGAAAAAGGGAAACAACATTCTTGACTATGCCTAAACTTTTATACTTTCAGCATTTTCCCTTTCTTTTTTTTTGCACATATTAATTATTACTGGAAAACTAAAATAATTTATGGTTTATAATTGTCTGTTGTAAAATATATATATATATATATATATATATAGTATTTGGCAGTGGTTGTAGTGTTTATAATATTTAATCAGTGTTGTACACAGTAATATATATCACATAATTCATTAGATATAAATCTATAATACTTATAAAATAGATTTGACAATACCGAAGCGTATATAGTATGCTATAATATTTTATAAAAAATAATATTTTTTTTAGCATACAAATTGCATAATAAAAAAATATTGTTAAAAAGAAATAACTCACACATATCTGTATATGTGTATATTTATGTATTTGGAGCACTTTTGTTTAAATGTTAAAAAAAAGTAGGAAGTAAATTATATATTTTACATAAATATATAAAGTAGGAAGTAAATTATGCATTTTACATTAAAATATATACTGATAGAAGAAAATGTTGAAGGTCATATATATTAACTTAAAAATTAAGGTGTTTGTTTGTTTAGCTATTTTGATTTGAGAGATATATATATATATATATTTATGAGAGTTATATAGTGAATCATGTTAGTAATATACTCCCTCCGTCTCAGATATCATGTCCACGTTGCCGTTTCTGTCCGTCTCACATACCATGTCACTTTTTTTTTTGGAAAATGATTACGCACTTTAATCTCATTTTTAATTTTTTAATTTTTTTTTTAAATTTTAATTAAACTAATTAGTTATCTTAATCTTAATTTATAATTATTTATATTATAGGATAATTATTTTCACTAATATATTCTTAATTATCTACTAATTACATCTCTCCTAAAATACCGTGTCTACAGTGTAGCAGACACAATATCTGGGACGGAAGGAGTATAAAGTAATATTTTATGTTAAATATTAATTTTGTGTAAGATAATAGAATATATGTTATATATATATTGGAAATTTTGTTAGATAAAAAAAATAGTTGGATAAACAAACCGGAAGTGTTCTTTAATTTTGGTATTTTGTTTTATTGGATGTTTCAAAGTTAAATAATTATTCGTATAAAAAAATTAGTATTAAATGGAAAGACTTGTTTGGTGGTAGTTTAAAATTAATTTGAAATGAAATGTTATATTTGAATTTTATTTAATAGTATTTTAATATGATATTTTGTTAAAAGAATAATTTATTTTTATTGAAAGCTGTAATTGATTACAATTTTAAATCATAAAAAGAACCAACCGTTAATATCCTAGAAGCATGTGCTTTTCTTTTTTTTGTTTGCATTGGTTATTTTATTTTATTATATGAACTAATTGTTAGATAAAAGATCGACATGATATTTTATTTTGAGTTCGTTTAGGTAAAATTTTAAATATTACATTTGAGAATATTAAAAAGTTCAGAATATGTGATGTAATATTTTGTAAAATTAAAAAAGAATTTGATGTGATTTTTTTATTTTTTATGATGTATTGTCGGGTGAATAATGTTACGAATATAAAAAATATCTATGTTAATAAAATACAATGCAAAAAATTTAATGATAAAAATAAATAAATAAAAATATTAATTAGACACCGGTAAACAAACCCTAAAATAATAGTAGTAGTAAATTTAATCAAGTTATAGAATTAAAAATAGATAGATTTATAATTATTGTGAGAGGTGAGGTTTGATGTAGTAATAGTTGGGCAGGTTGAGAGTGAAGATGGGATGAGCGATTTAGAGAAGGTAGAAGCAGACCTGGCGGAGGCCAGGGCGGCCATTTTGGGCGGCGGGAACGTGACGGACGGTTCTGATTATGTTCCTAAGGGAGCAATCTACTTGAATCCAAAGGTCTTCCAAAGGTTAGGTTAGGTTGCATTGCATTGCATTGCAATGAATAAATAAAGGTATCAGATATATATGAGAGTTTTAGTTTTATGATTGAAATTGAAAAGGTATATATGCATGCACATGCAGAAGCTACCTGGAAATGGAGAAGAGGCTGAGAATATACGTGTACGAAGAAGGCGAGCCGCCGTTGTTCCACTTGGGCCCCTGCAAGCACACCTACTCAATCGAAGGGATTTTCATGTCCGGCATGGAAGTCGGCCGCTTCCGTACATACGACCCCCGGCGCGCGCACCTCTTCTTCCTCCCCATCAGCATCACCATGCTCGCCGAAGCCATTTACCAGCGCGGCTCGCACGACTGGGCGCCCATGAAGTCCGCCGCACTCGATTACATCAGCGTCATCGCCCGAAAGTATCCCTTCTGGAACCGCACTCGCGCCGCTGATCATTTCATGCTCGCCTGCCATGACTGGGTAAATATATAACTATAAATATAAATATACATACATACATACATACATACGGGCTATTTCCTTTCCATCTCCATCTCCATCTCCATCTCCTTTTCCTGCAGGGGCCGGAGATCTCCTTGGCAGTGCCCAACCTACACAACAATTCGATCCGAGCCTTGTGCAACGCCAACACCTCGGAGCGATTCGATCCGTGTCGCGACGTGTCGGTGCCGGAGATCCACATCCCGGGCGACTCTCTGAAAGGCCTGATCGGCGGTCCACCGCCGTCGCAGCGTCCGATCCTGGTGTTCTACGCGGGCGGCGTCCACGGCCCGATCCGGCCGATCCTGCTGGAGCACTGGGAGAACAAATCCGATCCGGAGGTTCAGATATTCCGGTACCTTCCGAAGAAGGTTTCCTACTACGGAATGATGCGGAAGAGCAAGTACTGTCTGTGCCCGAGCGGCTACGAAGTGGCGAGCCCAAGGATGGTGGAAGGCCTCTATTTGGGGTGCGTGCCCGTGCTGATCAAGGACGGCTATGTGCCGCCCTTGAGCGATGTGCTGAATTGGGAGACGTTCGCGGTGACGCTTCCGGTGGAGGATATTCCCAACCTGAAGGGCATACTGGCCGGAATCTCGCTCCGGCGGTACGTGAGGATGCAGCGGGCGGGGATTCAGGTGCGCCGACATTTTATGATTAATTCGCCCGCCCAGAGGTACGATGTGTTTCATATGATTTTGCATTCAATTTGGCTGCGCCGGCTTAACGTCCGTCTCCGTGAAAATCAATCTCTTTTCACTGACATCGACGACTGAAATTATTTACTAGTGTTGACATAGGCGATTGCAACGTGGATCGGAATATGGTTTTATTTATCTAATTTTATGTTTTCCTTATGCTGTCTTCCTTTTAACGCGGTTCCATGTTATAAAAAAAACTAATACTTCCGTCCCTCGCCGATGAGGCGAGGGTGGACTTGTTACTGTGAAGTCATGAGTTCAAACATTCGATACTTTTGCATCTCATATGCTATATACGGTTCGCCTAGTATGATTTATTCTATTGAGTTTAATTTGTAAAGTATTAAGTTTATTTATTTATTTTTTTGTTACTTATATTTATTCTCTGTTGTACACGTAGCACACACGAATGTGCTACATAGCCGCTATGTATGCTTTCAATTACTTCTTTTTGGGGTATTCTCCTTTATAAATATCGATGGAATGAATGAAATCAAAAAATCATCTCATTTTACTTTATCTATGTTATTGTCTTTTCTCCCCCACTTTTCATAAACATCTTCACACATAATAAATATTATTATATACGCACACACTATCAACTCACATATATATATTTATATATATACACAGTAGCTTACATATATATATATTATATATATCTATAGTAAAATACTTATATCTATATATTATTCTATATACAATATATAAAATAGTGGTTATCGGTAAAAATAATTAATATTTATATTGGTTAATTCTATAATAATATCACAACATATTATCAGCACAATTATATATTTTATTTTTAGCAAGGTAATATTTTATATTTTATTTATTTATTATGTCTAACCTTGCCAAATAAGAATTTCTTCCTCTCCTCGTTTCTGGTCAAAACTATATGGTCTGGACTCACGATATTAAAATGTATCTGGCATCAATGGGCTTGGAAAATACCATTGCCCGGGATAAAAATTTCCCGAGCCAAGATCGTGCAAAGGCCATAATCTTTTTGTCATCACATCAATAAGGCACTGAAAATGCAATATGTGACGTTGGAATCCCCACTTGAATTATGGGAGAGGTTGAAAGAAAGATACGATCACTTAAGGTTGACTTTGTTGCCAAGGGCACGAAGTGAATGGCAAAGAGGCTTCCAGAAATATTCTAATATGGTTTTGCAGCAGCAATATCGCTAAAGAGAATTCCAGAAATATTTTGAGCTGATCACTTGTCTTTTGTTGGCTGAACAAAATAATGAATTGTTGTTGAAAAATCACGAATCTCGGCCAACAGGTGCAAATCTATTTCCAGAGGCAAATGCAATACAACCGGCAAATCCGTGCGTGGTCGTGGGCAAGTTAGAAATCAACAAATTGATCGCGATAAAAATCAGAATTGCGAATGGGGCCGGACGAACGCATACGGTCATAATAATTATCAGAATAGGCCCCGATATGTGCCAAATCGGCGGTATAATGACCTCAACAGAAGTTCAACACCGGGTGAAACAGAAACAATGATGAGGAATGCTTCTAGTGTGGAATTAAAGGTCATTGGACCCATGCTTGTCGCACAACCAGTCACTTGGCTGAACTGTATCGGACCTCAAAAGAAAGGCAGGGAAGAATTGCCCCCGAAACGAATCACGCTGCCCACGATGACACATTTGATGATGTGATGAATGAAAATATCGCATACCTGGATGCCGATGATCTGCTTGACATAGCTGATGATGTTAAATGATAAAATGTTGTTGTATCTCTTTTGTTATTTTGATGTTTTATGCCCCCCTTTTTATATTACCCCCTTATAATATAAGTCTATTTTGATGATGTTACTAATACATGTCTTTTATTATTTTTACCTTCTTGCAAAGATATGGATGCTTAATATTTTGGAGCCGATGAAAATATTTGCCTTATCAACAGTGCTACTCACAACATTCTGAAAAAAAAATGTTATTTCTCCCACCTGAATATGCGAAAGACCACTATTTTTACTATCAGTGGTGCATAAAAAATGATTGAAGGCTCAGGAAAAGCTACTATATTTCTCCCTAAAGGGACAAAAATGACAATTGAAAATGTCCTGTTCACAAGCAAAGCTCGAAGGAATTTACTGAGCTTCAGTGATATTTGAAAAATGGGTATCACATTGAAATATTAAATGAGACAGAAAATGAGTATATCCTGATAACTCATATTGTGATTGCAAAAGAATTGTGAAAGAAAAATTGTCATCATTTTCTTCCGACTTATATTATTCAAAAGGTAGTGATGTTGAAACATATCCCCTAGTAGTGAAAATGGCTACCAGCGAATTTAAAACTTGGCACGATCGACTTAGGCATCCTGAAAATGTAATGCTGAGACGAATTGTTGAAAATTCAAATGGTCACCCATTGAAAAAGAAAAAAATTTTGAGTTCGAATGAATTTGCTTGCGTTGCATGTTCCCAAGAGAATTAATAATCAAACCATCTCCAACAAAGGTTGGATTTGAATCCCCAACTTTTCGAAAAAGAATTCAGGATAATATTTGTGGACCTATAGATCCACCATGTGGACCCTTCAAGTACTTTATGGTACTAATTGACGCGTCAACGCGATGGTCACACGTATGTTTGTTATCTACTCGCAATCTAGCTTTTGCTAAACTACTTGCACAAATAATTAAATTGCGAGCACAATTTTCAGATCACCCGATAAATAAAATACGTCTAGATAATGCTGGAGAGTATTCATCACATAAACTTTATGATAACTGCATGTCAATTGGGATTACTGTGGAACATCATGTTACTCATGTACATACGCAAAATAGCCTGGCTGAATAGATATAATTTGATCATTATGAACAAATCCCTTATCAAAAGATTATAATTAATTGCTAGACCATTATTAATGAGGTCTAAACTTCCCATATCAGCTTGGGGACATGCTATATTGCATGCAGCAGCCTTCGTGAAAATAAGGCCGATAAGTTATCACTGTTATTCCCCTACTCAATTGGTTTCTTGAAAAGTACCAAATATATCTCACCTGCGAATTTTTTAGTGTGTTGTTTATGTGCTAATTGCGCCACCTCAACATACGAAAATGGGACCTCAAAGAAGGTTGGGTATATATGTCTGGTATGAATCACCCTCGATTGCGAAATATCTTGAACAAAAAATGCGTGATTTATTTACTGCAAGGTTTGCAAACTGTCACTTTGATAAATCTCATTTCCTGACATTAGAGAGAGACAATAATCAACTAAAAAAAAGAAATTTTGTGAAAAATACCACTTGAAATTGATCCTCGTACGAAACATAGTGAACTTAAAGTTCAAAGAATTGTGCATTTGCAGAAAATTACAAATCAATTGTATGATGCTTTTAATGATGCTGCCAGAGTTACGAAATCATATATTGCAGCAGCAAATGCACCAACTAAAATAAATATCCCATAAGGAAAAGTGCCGAGTGCTAATGAGCGTGCTGCCTACGTAAAACGTGGCAGACCGTTGGGTTCTAAGGATAAGAATCCACGAAAGAAGAAAATTGTAAATATTGGTAAAGAGATCAACAATGATCATATACTTGAAAAGATTAGTACAACCCCTGAAGAGGTTGATACTAAAAATTCTGATGAAAGTGATGATAAAGTTATTGAAACTTCTGTTAACTATACCATTAGTGGAAAATATTAGAACATAAAGAAAATATATATTGATAATTCATTTGCATATTCTGTAACACTCGATATAATGAAAGATGACGAGGATTATGAACCAAAATCAGTTGAAGAATGTCGGCAAAGAGATGATTGGACAAAATAGAAAAATGCAATTCAGTCTGAATTGGACTCATTGAGAAAACGACAAGTATTCGGCCCTATAGTCCAAACAATTGAAAATGTGAAACATGTTGATTACAGATGGGTGTTTCTGAGAAAAAGAAATGAAAATAATGATATCACAAGATATAAAGCAAGACTTGTAGCCCAGGGTTTTTCCCAGAGACCGAGCATTGATTTTGAAGAAACATATTCGCCGGTCATGGATGGAATAATATTCAGGTATCTAGTGAACCTCGCAGTACACAATAATCTTGATATGCGATTAATGGATGTGGTTACTACCTATTTTTACAGCTCCTTAGACAATGATGTCTATATGAAAATTCCAGACTTGATTAACATACCTAAATCTTTCAAATCAAAACCAAAAGAATCATATTTCATCAAATTGCAAAAATCTTTGTATGGTCTCAAGCAATCGCGCCGAATGTGGTACAAATTGTCTCAGCGAAAACCTAACAAAAGAATGTTACATAAATGACCCTATCTGTCCATGTGTTTTCATAAAAAAAAAAAAAGGTCAGAATTTGTAATCATCGTTGTATATGTTGATTATCTCAATTTAATTGAAAATTCTAATGAAATCAAGAAAGTTGTTGAATATTTGAAAAAGGAGTTTGAGATCAAAGATTTTGGAAAAACCAAATTTTGCCTTGGTTTGCAAATTGAGCACTTGGAAAGTGGAATCTTTATCCACCAATCAAATTATACCAAAATAGTACTGAAACAATTTCTGATGGATAAGTCACGTCCGCTAAGTACCCCAATGATTGTCAGGGTACTCGATCCAATAAAGGATCCATTTAGACCAAAAGAGGAAAACGAAGAAACACTTGGCCCTGAAGTGCCATGTATAAGTGCTATAGGTGCATTGATGTATCTTGCTAACAACACCCGACTTGATATATCATTTGCTGTAAATTTATTGGCAAGATTCAGTTCCTCGCCTACTCGAAGACATTGGAATGAGATTAAACACATTTTTCGTTATCTCCAAGGAACAATTGATCTCGGGTTATTTTACTCGAAAGATTATCGGCGTGAATTGATTAGTTTTGCCGATGTAGGATATTTATCTGATGATCCTCATAAAGCCAAGTCTCAAACTGACTATAAATTCACTTGTGGCAAAACATTCATCTCTTGGAGATCAATGAAACAAACTTTAACTGTCACTTCTTCAAATCATGCTGAAATATTGGCAATACATGAAACTAGTCGAGAATGTGTTTGGTTGAGGTCGATGACTCAACATATTCTGAAAAATTGTGGGTTAATACTTGACGATAAAATTCCCCCAACTACATTACATGAAGATAATATGGCTTGTATAGCCTAATTGAAAGAGAGTTATATCAAAAGAGATAGAACGGAACATATTTCACCAAAATCTTTTATACTCATGATCTAAAACA